AAGGAAGGAAGGAAGGAAGGAAGGAAGGAAGGAAGGAAGGAAGGAAGTGGAGGGAGAGAGAAAGGTTGTAATTGGGTAGGGAGATTATATAAGGAGGAAAGAAAGAGGGAAGGAAGGAAAGGAGGAAAGAAGTGGAGGGGGAAGGAAGGAAGATTGGAAGGGGAGAAGGAAGGAAGGAAAGAGGGAAGAAAAGAAGGCAGGTTTTGGAGGAGGGAAGGAAGGAAAATTATATCGGGAGAAAGGAAAGAGGGAACGAAGGAAGGGAGATAGGGAGAAGGAAAGAAGGAAGAAAGGAAGGGAGGGAGGGAGGTTGTAGGAGGGAAGGAAAGAAAATCATAGGGAGGAAGGAAAGAGGGAAGGAAGGAAGAAAGCGGAAGGGGAAGGAAAAAACAGTTGAAGGAAAGAAGGAGGACGGATGGATTTTGGCAAAGCGACCCCCTCCCCAGTCCCCACCGCAACCCCCCCCCCCACTCCCCCATCTTCAGTTCTAGTAGAGGCCACCATGCCTTGACTTTGCCGGGGAGGGGGGAGAGAGAGAGGGACCAAGGGAGGGCGGGGGAGGGGAGGGGCGGGGCGGGGGTCCCCGTCCAGACAGCCGCCAGACGGGGGAGGACTGTCAAGAGCTCGAGCGAGGCAGGCGAGGCGGGATCTCTCGAGAGGAGACGCGGGTGGGGAGGTGGGTTGCGGGGAGAAAGGGTGGGAGGGGAAAGCTTGATGCAGACCCCCCCTCCCCTTATTTTTGAAGCCTCCCCTCCCTCCTCTTCCTCTTCCATCCCTATTATCCTGCCCCCCCAAAATAAAACCACCTCGGGGTACTCACTGCGGGTTGGAGCTGTTCCAATGCACCGCGTGTCGGTTGCCGGAGCTGCCGCGGCACAGGAGAAGCACCAGCAACTGCAGGAGGAGCAGCAACGGCGGCGGAGACGACGAGGAGGAGGAGGAGGAGGAGGAGGAAGAAGAGGAGAACGGCGGGCAGAGGCGAGGCAGCGAAAGCCGGGCCATCCCGCCGGGCTGGCGTCCCGGGCCCCAGCCACCGCGCCAAGGGAAGGAGCCCCGGGCCCGGTGCGTAAAAACGAAACGGGAGCTACCCAAAACCTTGCGCTCCGCTCGACCCGCTGCTGCTGCTGCTGGTGCCGCTGGTGCTGCTGAAGCTTCCTCCACAGCGCCGCCCCGGCTCCTCCTCGCGCGCCCCCGGGACCGGGACCGCCTCCCCCCCTTCTCCCCCCCCCCGCCTCGTGATGCCCAAGCGCGCCCCCGCGGGTTCCCACGGGCTCCCCACGCTCCGCTTTCTCGCCAAAGCCCAGCCTCTTTTGCGCGCCCGGGCTCTCTTCTCCGGCTCAGCCAGGAGGAGGGGGGGGGGGAGGGGGGGCGGGGCAGGGCAGGGGTGTTGGGGGGGGGGGGGGGGCTGGTTGGGCCTAGAGGCCACGCCCCCTTTGGGGGGGGAACCTTCCTCTACTACCCCCCCCCAATTTCCCTACCTAGCGGGGAAGGGAATTAAAAAAAAAAAAAAGCTAAACCTTTCCAGATGTGGAATGCTTTTTTTTCCAACGGGGTTCGCTTTGTGATATAGCCTAGTGCTCCATTTAATGGCCACAAGGGAGCCCCACTGTTTCTGGGGTGGAGGGAGGCAGGTGTGGAGTTTGCACACACACACACACACACACACACACACACACACACACACACACTTCTCCATGCAACCTTTCTCACCCGCAGTCCTTAAGGGAATCACTGCCACTGTTCGGTCTTTAAGGTGCGCCTGCATTGCCCCCCCTGTGTGCTTGGCTTGTCCCAAGGTCATAGATCCCAGAATAAAAGAGTTGGAAGGGGACCCGGGGAGGCCATCTAGTCCAACCCGCTTCCTCCAGCAGGAGAGTCTATGCCGAGTATGAGCCTCTACCTAGGACTGAGGTGGCGAAAGGGGACCGCGTCACCCCCCACCCCCCCCAGGACTCTGCAACCGTCATAAATGCGAGTCGGGGGGCCTGTGAATTTGGATCAAGTGTGAAAAAAAAAAACGCGGTCCTGAGTCCCTTTTTTCGATGGGGCTGTTGTAACTCTGAACGGTCGCTAAACAAACTCTTGTCCTGGAACGGAAGAGGGGCAGCTCTCTCAACCATACTCTCTTGTAACCCTCTTCGCTTCGTTTCTGGGAATAACCCGAAGGAAGGGAGCGGCCTTTTGAGCATGGACAGAGAGCCATGCTTATTCCCTATTTAAAAAAAAAAATCCAGAGGGGAGGAAGAGCCAGAGCAACTGGCTGGAAAGGCAAGAGGGCCTCTGAGCCCGTGCAGATGGCCTGCTTCCCACAGCGGGCCCGCCAGCCCTCCGGAGGAAAGCCAGGAGGCAAGGCGAGAGATCCCTGGAAGAGGATCGAAGGAGGCGAGCGAGCGCCAGGGCCCGGCCACCCAGCCTGTCCGCCTGGCGCCCAGAAACGCTGAGCTAGGAAACTGGGCGACAGACGCCTGCCTTGTGCCCACCCAGCGGGGAGACTCCCACCGGGCAGGAGCTTGCCGTGCCCGGACACGCCGAGCAGCAGAGGCCAAATTGGACGCGCGGCGCGTCAGGAATGCAGCCAGAAGCCCCAGGCCTAGGTGGGACCTGTGTCCTGCGCTGGAGAAGTCTTGGCTGCACCCTCCCGGCCTCCCTCCGTGGGGTGCGTGGAGCAGGCCTGCTCTTTCCCCTAACGGCCTTCTTTCTTTCTTTCTTTCTTTCTTTCTTTCTTTCTTTCTTTCTTTCTTTCCTTTCTTCTTCTTCTTCTTCTCCTTCTTCCTCTTCCTATTATTCTCCTCCTCCCTCCTCCCTCCTTCCTTCTTCTTTCCTTTCTTCTTCTTTCCTTTCTCCTCCTCCTCCTCCTCCTCCTCCTCCTCCTCCTCCTCTTCTTCTTTTCTACCTCTCCTTCCTCTTCTTCTTCCTCTTCTCCTCCTTCCTCTTCCTTCTCCTCCTCTTCTTCCTCTTCTTCTTCTTCCTCTTCTCCTCTTCTTCCTCTTCTTCTTCTTCCTCTTCTTCTTCCTCTTCTTCTTCCTCTTCTCCTCCTTCCTCTTCCTCTTCTCCTTCTCTTCTTCCTCTCCTCCTCCTCCTCCTCCTCCTCCTCCTCCTCCTCCTCCTCCTCCTCCTCTTCTTCTTCTTCTTCTTCTTCTTCTTCTTCTTCTTCTTCTTCTTCTTCCTATCCTTCCTCTTTTCCTCCTTCCTCTTCTCTTTCTCCTCCCCCTCTTCTTCCTCTTCTTCTTCTTCTTCCACTTCTTCTTCCTCTCCTCCTCCTTCCTCTTCCTCCTCTCTCCTCCTCCTCCTCCCCCTCTTCTTCTCCTCCTCCTCCTCCTTCCTCTTCCACTTCTCCTCCTCCTCCTCCTCCACCACCACCACACGTTTTTAGTTTATTTCCGAGTACAAAAGAAGAAACAAACTTAACAGCCAGCAGACACAATGCATAAAAATAAAATAAACACGTGTATCCGATAAACCCCTGGACTCTTTTTCCCCCATGAATGAACGCTCAGCACCCCTCACACACCCAAATTGGGGTGTGGAGAATGGACCCCTTTCCCCCAAAAAAACTTTCCCCCGTCTCCCCCCCATAGCCAATGGACCCCTCGCCCGATGAAATCGTGCCCCTTTGCTATCCGGGCAGCCGCTTGTTCCGCCCTCCCAAAACTCGTCCAGGGTCTACATGGTTTTTTTTTTCCAAATTGCACCTTTTTGCAAACCAGGACAGGTAGCCTCCCAGAAAATTTTTTTTCCTGGGCAACGCGGAACCCACGTTGGGATGTGTTGTTACAAGAGTGCAGCCTGCATCGACCTGGCTTGTGTAAACACACGCCAGGGGGGTTGTTGGTTGGACTTATAAAAGCCTGTTTTTGACAGGCCTGTTTCCAAGCTTAGAAAATCCTCTATTTTGCTCCCTTTCCTGGCCCTACGAGAAGAACAAACACCGTTTTTTTATCCTTCTGTAAATGACAACGGAACGGATTGCGCCAAGCTGGGGTTTTAACCTGGGTGCCCCCCCGTAACAAGCCGAGTTCAAGCCAATGTCCTGGCTCGATTCTTGGAGAGACAAGGCCCTGATGCGAGAGCCGCCAAGGGCTCGCTCCCTGCTGAAGCCAACCATAGAACGGTGGAGCTGGAAGGAACCCCGGAGGTCAGGTAATCCAGCCTGCCACCCAGTTTAGAAAAAAACACGGATTAACCATCCGCACCTCTTTAATTCTTGTTGGGCTTCTGAGCAGGGGGTTGGGCTAGATGACCTCCAAGGTCTCTCCCGACTCTTGTTCTTTTGTACTCTAAGCAGGGATTTGATGACCTACAAGGTCCCTTCCAACTCCGTTCCTCTGCCTTCTGGGCAGGGGGTTGGGCTAGTTGACCTCTAAGGCCCCTCCCAACTCCATTACTCTGTCCTCTGAACAGGGCTAGTTGACCTCTAAGGTTCCTCCCAATCCTAACTCTGTCCTCGGAGCAGGG